GCATGCCATATATCCTCCAGGACTTATGAGTAATAAACCTTGTTTTTTTCAGTTACCTGATGGCTGTTTCTGTGGGGGTATCTTGCAATTAAAAGAACCACAAAGGCCAGTCCATCTGCAGTCTATTAACTGTACAATAGCACTATGTGTGAAAAAAAATACACACCCTTATTTTAAAGATATTTTATTGCTAAAAAAACAGCTTTCAGTGAGTCATAATCACTGATCACAGATCACCATAACAAATAATTAAATAATAAAAAGTTTTGAAATATTGTGAGAATTACCAAAATGTGACACAGAGACACAAAGTAAGCAAATGCTATTGGGAAAATGACATCAATTGACTTGCTTGATGTAGGGTTATCACAAACCTTCAATTTATGGGGAAAAAATGCAATATCTATATAGTACAATAAAATTAATTAAGCCCATATGTACTTCATTGGCTGAAATGCACCATAGGCTGCTCCTGAGTCCCCCGGGGTAGGAAAATATTAACTGTAACTGATAAATTGCTAGAGGCTAAGTATGAACAAATCTGAGAGTTTTAAAAGCTCCAGAGGGAGGGCACAGTCTTAGGGGAGCATACCCACATTTTTGCAAGTTTTCCTCCATTAGTTCTATCAGATTCTCACAGTGAAGACTGGAGAAAAATCTTCTCATGCTTCACTCAAGAGAAAGAGAAAAGTAGTAGCCATTTTGCAATAATCCAGGGCATTCTGTTCATCCTAATGAAATCTGCCCTCAAAGGAAACTATTTACCAAAGCCTAACCTGTAGAGATTTTATCGGAAATTTAACTTACTTGTGGGGAGAGAAATACCCAACTCCACCCTCCTCTAGTCATCCTGATGCACCTTGAGATGGAGAAGGGGATTAATAAGCACTTGTGAAGCACACGCTCTAGGTGTACAGGCTCACTAAAAATTTAACTGATACCTAGTAATTATAGGACTTTAGAGTACTTCCTCTCTCCTACTTAATCACAACATGACCCAAAGCCTGTGGACCAAAGTTCTTTATCCAGCACATCTTATCTGGCTTTCAACAAAAATTTGCAAGGCATACTAAAACAAAAACAAAAATAAAACAAAAAACACAGTTTGAAGAGAAAAAGCAAGCATAAGAAGCAGAGTTAGATATGGGAGGAGTATTGAAATTATCAGGCCAGCAATTTAACTGTGATTAATATGCTAAAGACCCTAATGGAAAAAAGTATGCAACAAGTAAGATCATCTGAGTAATGTACTTAAAGAGATAGAAGTTGCAAGAAATAATTCCCAAGAAATGCCAGAAATAAAACACATTGAGATATTAAAAAAAAAATGTCTTCGATATACTCATTAGTAGACTAGACAAGGGTCAGGATATAATATCTAAGCTTGCAGATATATTAACAGGAACCTCCAGAACTAAAAAGCAAAGAGGAAAAAACAAGACTGAGGAAAATGGAAAAGAATATCCAAGAAATATCAGACTATTACAAAATGGGTAACATACTAATAATGGGAATACCAGAAGGAGGGGAAAGAGAAAAAGAAGGAAAAGAAATATTTGAACTAATAATGACTGATAATTTCCTCAAATTAATGTCAGACACCAAACCACAGATACAGGAATCTCAGAGAACACAAAGCAAGATAAATGGTAAAAAACAAAACAAAACAAAACAAAAAACCCCAATAACAAAACAACAACAAACATACACATAGGCATATAATATTATAACTGCAGAAAATAAAAGCTAAAGAAAAAAATCTTTAAGAAGTTCTTCTGAAAATGTGAAAGAAGCCAGAGGGGAAAATACTTTACCTATAGAGGAGCAAACAATAGGAATTACATCGGATTTCTCAGAAACCATGCAAGTAAGAAAAGAGTAAAATGAAATATCTAAAATGTTGAGAGAAAAAACACTAACAGCACTAACAGCACAGAGCCTGTTTGGGATTCTCTCTCTTCTTCTCTCTCTGTGCCTCTTCCCCACTTGTGTTCTCGCTCGCTCTCTCTGTCTCTGCCTCTCTCTCTCTCTCTCTCCAAATAAATAAACATGAAACATGTAAAAAAGAAGAACTCTCAATAGAAATTTTAAAATATTTTGAACTAAATGAAAATACATTATCAAAATTGGGGGATGCAGTGAAAATCATGTTTAGAGGGAACTTTATGGCCTTTTATGAAGATATTAGAAAAGAAGAAAGCCCTAAAATCAAGTAATCTAAGATTCCACCTTAGAAAACTAGAAAGGAAGAATAAATCTAAGCAGAAGAAAATAAATAATTAGGACAGAAATCAATGAAACTGAAAACAGGAAGCCAACAGAGAAAACAATGAAGCCAAAAACTGATTCATCTAAAATATAAAATTGATTAACCTCTAGCCAGTCTAAAGAAAAAGAGAGAAGACACAAGTTACTAATATCAGAATTGAAAGGACATCACTACAGATCCTGTGGATATTAAAGGAATACTACGAACAACTCTATGCCCACAAATGTGATAACCTAGATGAAATAAATCAATTCCTCAAAACAAAAAATGTAACAAAATTCACACGAGAAAAAATAGACAATCTGCATAGGCCTATGTATATTAAAGATATTAAATCAGCAATTACTAAACTTCAAAAACATAAAGCACCAGGCCCAGATGAGTTCACTGATGAATTCCACCAAACATTTAAAGAAGAGATTATATCAATTCTTTACAATCTCTTCCAGGAGGCAGAAGCAGAGGGAATACATGCTATTCATTCTATGACAGGATTGTCCTAATACCAAAACCAGACAAGGACATTGCAAGAAAAGAAAACTGCTGGCCAATATTTCTCATTAACATAAATGCCAAAATTCTCAAAATATTAGCAAATTGAATCAAATAATGTATAAAAATAATTATATACACAACCAACTGGTTTATCCCAAATATGCAAGGCTGGTTCCACACTTGACAATCAACGTAACATAATATAATCCATCATACCAACAAGCTAAGGAAGAAAAATCACATGGTCATATCAGTAGATGCAGAAAGAGCATTTAACAAAATCTAGTACCTATTCATGATAAAGACTCTCAGCAAACTAGAATACAGAGGAGTTTCCTCAACGTGATAATCCACAAGTTGGACATCCACAAAAAACCTATAGTCACATTAGCTGTTTACCTATGGTAAGGTTAATTGTATACTGGTACTCACAAAATGGGGCCAAGGTCACAAATCTAAACCTAAGTCAGCCTGATCTAATGGTACTCCTCTCATTGTTAAAGAAACCTAAATACACCTGTCACAATTTTGCAACTCAGCTTTAGCTAGCTTATTTGGCCTTATTAGGAAATCTCTATTAATCATATTCACTCTTGCCCAATATCCCTCCCAAGAGTGGTCTATGGTTTGTTTTCCCTTGCATAAAAGACCTCAAATCTGTTACTGTTTTAGTTTTGCTATTTGACACATGTATCTTTTCTTCCTTTTGGCAGCTCTGAGTTAAAAGTCACTTATGGAAAAATAGCTCAAAAATGTCCCTTTATGAACTTTGTATTACAAAACTTCCAAGCACATAGAAGAGGGGACAATAGTAAAATGAGGTATTAGAGGTAGAAATCCTTAACATGTGCTATATTTGCCTTTTCTGGTTATTTAATTACAAATATGTAATATAATGCTAAGTATCGGGGCGCCTGGGTGGCTTAGTCGGTTAAGCGTCCGACTTTCGCTTGGGTCATGATCTCACGGTTCGTGGGTTCGAGCCCCGCGTCGGGCTGTGTGCTGACTGCCAGCTCAGAGCCCGGAGCCTGTTTCAGTCTGTGACTCCCTCTCTCTCTGACCCTCCCCTGCTCACGCTGTCTCTCTCTCTCTCCTAGAAAAAAAAAAAGCTAAGTATCTTAATATGCGTCTCTGAAAAAAGTAAATGTTCCTACGTAACCCCGATGTTATCATCACAATTAACAAAAATAACATAATTTCCTTCCATATTTCTAATATCCGATCCAAACACAATTTCCCCAGTTGTTCCCAAACGTCCTCCTGTTTTCTCCAACCAGGATCTGATCCAGGACCACACTGTATTTGATGTTATATCAAAGTTTAACCCATAAACTCTGGGTCTTTGGTAGAATTTGGGCTCCAGACAGCAATAAAGACTATTAATAACACAGGAAACCTGCGAGCGGTCGCTGTACCTTCATGGGAAATGTAGTCCTGGACGTTCCCGCTGACCGCGCGGCATTCTAGGAACGGACACCGGGTCTTTTCCCTGCGCATGTGTAGTCACCCCACTTCCTGGCTTCCGCCCTTCCCGGCTGTGCGGATGCGCCGGGTTTGGCCTCAGGTGAGAGGGGCCTCCTCCGCACGCCGGGAGGGAGAGGGGCGGCCTTGTGCCCTGAGGAAGGGACCACGATGTCTCGGGAACTTCCAGTTCACCCCAGGATGGGAGCCCCGCAACCTGTGCCGACCCCGGCAGGAGCGTAGACCTGGCAAAGACGGGTGGGGACGGGCCCCTGCCCCGTGGGCTCCAGGGGCCCAGATGGGGCGAGTGCTGTCGGAAGACGTTCCCTGCGGACTAGGGTGCGGGAGCTGACTGCAGCCAGACTTGGGAAGATCCCTGGCCGGCGGCGGTAGGGTAATGGCGCGTTTTCCGTATTGGATATTGACCGTGACCCCGGCACAAAGCGCCCCCAGGCCTTGAGCTTGGAAGCCAGAAAAACCGGATAAATACCTCCTTTGTCACTTGGGCATAAGTGAGGTTCTTTCTCATCTGAAAATAAGGATATTAGTTAAAAACTGCTTTGTGGCGTTATTCAGAAAGAGGTAGGTCATAACTTGTAATGCATTTAGCCAAGGGCTAGTTAGTTACCACTAGTAAGTACGAGGCAATAAGCCAAAATGTAGTGTTGGCTCCCCTTGTATTTGAAAGACACTTTGTTCTTTTTTATTTAGTATTTAACTTTGCATTTGTACTTTAACTTTGCATCCACCCTATTTATAGGAATAACCATATCTTGAAAGAAAGAAAATGGGCTCGGAAGAGTGAAATTACAGACCACAGGTCAAAAAGGTGAGGAAGCCAGGATGCAAATACAGATATATTTGCTTTACCCCCAAATTCAGCTATTCCTAATACCCTGCCCCCTTAAAACCCAGCATTGCACTCCTAACAGCACTAGCATAGTGACTTGCCCTGGTATTCTCAGGACTATGATCGGAAAGTCAACGTGATGTCACTCTCTGACATCAATGTCACTTTCTGATACGTGTATCTGTTCTGGGGTTTCTGGCATATCTCCAGAGCCTCTGGGTAAGACTGAGGCTCCTGGCACCACCTGTGCTATCCAGGCGGTCTCTGTCTTCAGAAGGCACAGTCTAGTGCAGTGCTGTCCAATAGATAAGGTGAGCCACAAATATAATTTTAAAAGTTCTAGTAGCCATATTAAAAACTAAAACATGTGAAATTAATTTTAAGAACATACTGTGTTTATCTTAGTTTATACAAAATATTTTTCAACATGTGGCACTAGCCACATTTCAAGTGCTCAATAGTGGGATGTGACTAGTGGCTACAATAATAGAGCAGTTCTAATGATTTTTAAGAAAATCAGGTGTAAGGCCCTACACCAGTGGTGCCCAACCAGGGTGATTTTGCCCTCCAGAGGCCTTTTGGAAACAGCTGGAGATGATTTGGTTTGTCACAGCAGGAGGAGTGCTACTAATATCTGGTGGGTAGACACCAGAAATACTGCTAGGCATCCTACAGTGTACAGGACCCACACCCCCGTGACAAAGAAGTTTGGGGCCCAAAATGTCAGTAGTGCTGAATTTGAGAAACCTTGCTCTTGATGAAAGTTTCAACTAAAAGGAATTTGTTTCCTAGGCCTAATCTCAATGTCTCTGGAACAAAACAGCTCTTGTGTGTCAGGCAGGAGAGGAGCCTTGGGGACAGGGGTCGCACCTGGAAGAAGAGTTTATCTGACAGGGACCATCCTCACAGAAGCTTCAGAACAGATGCAGAAGAGCCCAGAAAGGAGTGGGTCCTAATTTGTTACACCAGAAGCATTTTGTAATTACCTTGTCCAGAAAGAGCCAGACTTGGTGGTATCACCACACCCAGAAGCCATCACAGAGTGCATGACAGTGGAAACTGGACCAGCTTGCAGAAGGTGGTGAGCTGGGGTTGAAAGAGATAGGTGACTATCAGGCTGTACAGGAAAAACCACAGCCAGAGCCAAGGAGATTCAGTCTCCATCCGTCTTAAACAGCCCTCTATTTTCTTCATTCTTCACTTGCTTTGCAGATTCTGACCTACTTTCTCATTGTGTCCATCAGAAGTGGCATCCAGAGATATGCTGAGGCTTCCTTTATCCTGAACATAAAGAATTACAAAATGACAGTATAGGAGTGAATTTCTATCTCTCTTTTGAAACTTTAAAAAAGTGGAGCCTGAGATGTATGTCTCCTGGTCACCCAGGATAGAGCTAGGAGGAAAGCACAGCGCTATTCATTCTGTCACACTAAGTCATTAGACGTGTCTTATTTAAAAGTCCCTTGCTCAAAAGAACAAAAGGATTTTAAAATATTTTGTCACTAAGCATCTTTTTCCCCTAGAGTTTTCTGTTGATTCTCTAGCTTGAAATATAAATAATATTAATATGATTATTAATAATCAGTAGGAAAATAATTCATAGTCACCCAGTGAAAAACAGCAAGGTTACATCCATGTGATCATATCAGAGATGCACTACATATTCAGGGAGTGCTATCTCTATGTTGTGCTTCCTGCCCCTTCTTAAGGGTCAACAGGACATTTTTCAATAGGGAGGCTTTTCCCCAGCTCGTGTGATGAGACTTTGAGGCAACTAAATGCAGAAGCTCACCAGACCTCTCATGATTCCTTTCCTCTTTCCATACCCCCAGCTTATCCTTCACAGTTCTCTGTACTCTCCCAACAACTGCAGAAAATGAACACAGCTCAGGTGAGTTGTATATATACACCTTTTTGTATAATGGATTTTATGGGTAGTTAATTAACAAAGAAAAGTAGAACTAGAAATGGATCAAAACCCTTGCAGCTTGTAAGCTCAAGTCCCACGTCAGGCTCTGTGCTGACAGCTGAGAGCCTGGAACCTGCTTCGGATTCTGTGTCTGCCTCTCTCTCTGCCCCTCCCCTACTTAAACGTTGTCTCTCTCTTTCTCTCAAAAATATATAAACAAAAAATTTTTAATAAAAAGAAATGGATCAAAACCATTCAAGGAAGATACAGAAAAGCAGATGAGTAGTACAGCAGAGTTGCAGGATAGATGCAGTCCTCTGAAGTTACAGATTTTCCAAAGTATAGGTGCAGATTTCTTCCTGACCTGATAGCCATGACAGAGAGTCAGACAGACAATATTTGTTTCAAGACATGCATTGATGAGAATCTTAAACCAAACATTCCTTGTGGAATTTAAAGTCACTGAAGTCAGGAAAAATGTCTTTGTTGGTCTTCAGGTAGGTGATAGTGCAGATCTTTCCAGTAACAACCCTGAAATAATTATAGGATGTTGTTTCCACTTTTTCCTCAGTGGAAATAAAGGGCACATTACCAAAGCAGGGCTTTCGTTAATGCCAGCTGTCTGTGTCAGTAAACAGAAGAAGTAGACCTTTCTCTGATCATCCTGTTAGACCCAAAGGTAATACTTAGACTAACTGGAGCTCAGCATGAATAGCTGGTACATTCATGTCCTGAAAATACCTCTATGTACATATTTCTCTCAAGTACTTGTCTTGAACAAGTTGTTTAGTAGACAGCTTAAAGTTCTGTTCTCTAGCAAATGTTGCTGCACTTTCCATTCACATTTCAGGCCACTGCATGTGCCTGTGACCAGCAGTCACCAGTGACCTAATTATATTTCAATCCAGTGGGTCTCACGCAAATCTGTCTACAGTGTCTGACTCTGCTCTTACTTTGTCCTTCTGGAAGGTCTCCTGCGTTAGTGTCTGTGTCAGTCTCTGCTGCTGTCCTGCCTCTTGTTTCTTTCATGGAGTCACCTTCCTTCGCTTGTCCTTTGACATGTCCCCCATCACAAGTTTCCATTCCTTCTCCCTATTTTTCCAGCTAGTCTTCTTGACTCCTTTCATCACCACTCTGGTTTGAACAGTGAGGTATTTGTTAGTTCTTGCAAATGTGGCTCTGCAGCCCCCTGTGACCAGAAGCACTTTTTGTGCTGGTGGAAATGATCTGTTCATTGTCCCAAATGGTGGCTGCTAGCCGCATGTACCATTGAACACGTGAAATGCAGCTAGTTTTAAGTTTCAAACAGTCACACATGGCTAGTGACTACCATGTTGGACATAGTTGACTCAACATCTGTCTGTAGGTATCCAAAAGGCATCTCCAGCCTAACTGATTCAAAGTAAAATAAACATTTATAGCCCTTCCCAAACTATCCACTTATCTTTCCCTATTAGATTATACATCCCTAGTCAGCCAGACACCCAAGCCACCAAAGTACATGTGCATCCCAGGCTCCTTTTGTTCTCACTCTCCTGACTTCAGCCACATCTGTTGTGTAATCATGTCTTGCTACTTTCCTTTTTGTCAGAGATGACAGCAATTTTACATGGTCAAACCTAAATGCATATTTTAAATGCATTCTTGGGGTGTGTGGATGGCTCAGTCAGTTAAGTGTCCAAGTCTTGATTTTGGCTCAGGTCATGATCTCACAGTTCATGAGTTTGAGCCCCATATCAGGCTCTGTTCTGAACCTGCTTGGGATTCTCTCTCTCCCCCTCTCTTTCTTTCCCCACTTATGCTCGCTCGCTCGCTTGCTCTCAAAATAAATAAATAAACCTAAAAACAAATAAATGCATTCTGCTACTTTATTCCTCTTTTGCTATCTCACAGTATCACAGCTGAACTGTTGGAATAGCTTCTTTACTAACCTGCCTGCTTCCTTCTTCACCTACTCAAGCACACCTTCCACATGGGTAGTTCATCTAAATGCAGTGAAGGAATGTCTTGTCCTTGTGTAAATCACCTCATGGCACCTTACCCGTGTGATAAAATTCCTAATTTCTCAAGATGACATTTTAGCTTTGGAGGCATTACCTCTTCCTTTTATTTATTTACTTATTTTCCCACTTTTTTGGTGTTCTGAATTTTTTGATAACTGTTTATTGAGCAACCAAGATAAGATGTTCCAGAGAAGTAGCATGTGCCATAGTTACAGCTTAAACAATACAGATACTTTTCTTCCCTAATAGTGTTCACAATCTAGTGGGGAATATGACATTAAAAAATTTACTATTAAAAAATTTACTAAACCAAGCCTCATTTAGTTTTTTAAACATATCCTCCTATCCCTCCCTAACTGCTTCATATCATCTTCTCATTGTCTTCATTGGATTGACCTTTAGAGCCACATCCTCATCCTGTTCATCTGGTGCTGTGGATTGAATTGTGCCCCCCCCTCCCCATCATACATTGAATCCCTACCTCGCAGTGTGACTGTATTTAGAGACAGAACATTTTTTAAAAATGTTTATTTATTTTGAGAGCACACACGTAAGCAGGTAAGGAGCAGACAGAATCCCAAGCAGGCCCAGTGCTGTCAGTGCAGAGCCTGACATGGGGCTCAAACCCACAAACTGAGATCATGACCTGAGCCAAAGGAGTCAGACACTCAACCAACTAGCCACCCAGGTGCCCCTAGATTTGGAGCTTTTTGGAGGCAATGGAGGTTAAGTGAAGCTTAAGGGTGGGATCCTGATCCAGTAGGATTGATGGTCTTATAAGAAAAGGAAGAGAGAGAGACAGATTTCTTTCTGTATGCACAGGCAACAGGCAAAGGCCATGTGAAAACCCAGCAAGAAGTGGCCATCTATAACCCAGGAAGACCATGTCACCAGAGTCCAGATACTCTGATCTTGGACTTCTAGCCTCTAGAATTGTGAGGAAATAAATGTCTGCTATTTAATCTACCCAATCTCCAGAACTCTTCATCTTGCAGAACTAAAGCTAATATCCATTATTTCTTGTAATTGTTTATTTATTTCAAGAGAAGGAGAACGTAAGCTGGGGAGGGACAGAGAGAGAAGGAGAGAGAAGCCCAAGTGGGCTCCATGATGTTATTAAGGAGCCCATCTCACTAACCATGAGATCATGACCTGAGCCAAAATCAAGAGTCAGACACTTAACCGACTGAGCCACCCAGGTGCCTCAAACTCTGTGTCCATTAAACAACAACTCTTCATTCTTGCCAGCATTCAGCCTCTGGCAGCTACCACTCTACATTCTGTCTATTAATTTCCCTACTCATATAAGTGGAATCATGTAGTAATTGTCTTTTTGTGACTCACTTATTTCACTTAGCATGAAGTTCTCAAGGCTCATACATGTATCAGAATTTCCTTTTTAAGGCTGAAAAATACTACATTATGTGTATATGCCACATTTTATTTATCCCTTCATCAGATGATAAACACTTAGGTTGCTTCTACCTTTTGGTTATTATGAGTAATGCTGCTATGAGCATAGATGTACAGATTCTCTTCAAGATTGCCACTGTCATGGATATTTATACCCAGAAGTGGCATTGCTGGATCATGTGATAATTCTGCATTTAATTTTTTGAGGAACAACTGTACTGTTGCACGGTGGCCATGCCATTTTATATTCCCACGAGCAGTGCACAGGGATTCTAGTTACTCCGCATCCTTGCCAACACTTGCTCTTTTCTAATAGTGGCCATTCTAATGGCGGTGAGGTCTAGCTGTTTACTTTTGACCTGTTATGAATCTACTTTGGTTGCCTCAGCCAGGAAATAATGCTCTTCTCTTTCCCCTTGTCTCCCTCTGTGCTAATTTCCCCTTTTCTGAATCTACACAGCCCCATCATAACTTCATACATTGGTGTAAGTCACCTGATAATGTATTTTGTCTCTCCAGTTAGACCATTAGCTTCAAGATGTGGAACTACCATCGGTTCATTTTCATAGGCTCCATTCTAAGCCCTCTTCTTCTTTAGTTGAGAATGCTCCTTAAACTGTTTTTGAATAAAAGATTATCTCCTCTCTGTAGAGAACTGGGCCTCTCAAAAAATTTGGATTTCTTTTTTTAAAAATATTTATTTATTTTGAGAGACAGCTGCGTGTGCACATGCACACATGGACACATAAGCCAGGGAGGGGCACAGAAAGGAGGGAGAGTGAATCCCAAGCAGACTCTGCACTGACAGCACAGAGCCTGACTCAGCTAGATCCTACAAACCGTGATATCATGACCTGCGCAGAGGTCAAGAGTTGGAGGCCTAACCACCTGAGCCACCCACGCACCTTAAGAATTTAGATTTCTATTCTCAGAACACCACCTCATTTCTTATAAGGCAGAGCCCGTGCCATTACTTTCTTTTGTCCTAGAAACCTATGCATACTTGTATGCATGACAAAAAGACCTGTTCTTCTGACTGAAGGACTCTCCAAGAGGATGTTTTCCTGATATCACCACCACCATCTCATACTTTTCTTTAAAGTGCTGTCATTTAATTAATAAATAAAATGTTGTCATTTAGCCGCCTCATCTTTAAGACTGGATCATCTCTAGACTATATGTGTGGTTCTGAGAACTAAACTTGTGAGCAAGTACAATCCCCTTAGAGGAGATAATACATAGGAGGTACCAGGAATAATGTGGAGCTTTCTTCCTTATACATGGGAAACAAGTTATGATTAAATGAATTAGCTTAATTGATTGAATCAGCATCAGGATTTGCAATTTGTCAGAGAAAGGCTAAGTCAAGCAAAGGTGAATAGTTGAAAAGGATTGCGTCAGTCCTGAAAAACGAGTGTGATTTTAATTGTTGCAGAGTAGAGGGAGGTTACTGCATTTTGAGAGCCCAGTAAGATTTTTGCCTGTTCCCCTTTAGAATTCCTCTTAGGGAATATTAGGAGAGAGAATGAGATAAATGCTGGGACCAGATTAGGTATATTAGTTTGC